AGTTCTGGAAGTTTCATAAACAAAATAAAGTTATTGACATGAGACAAAGTATATGTGAACTGCTGTATGAAAAGTGAATTTACTCTGTAAATCTTCACCCAAATCCTAATTAAAAAAAAAAAAAAATACACCAACACATTACTAAAAGATTAAAGGGAAATACATTAAAATATCAGTAGTGGTAATTGGGAACAGGGAAATTATAGGCCAATGGTTCTTCTTCTTTTTTTACTATTTATTTTACTATGTTTTCCATACTTCACTTAATGAGCATATACTTATTTTACAATTTTAAAAATTTAGAAAGTAAAAGTAAAATGTAGACCAAGACCACACACCAATGGAGTGTAACTAGTTTTGGCATTTTTTCAGTGTAGTATGTTTCTATTTAGTTCAGCAAAACCTTGAGAATATATTCAGTATAATCAAGCACCATTTGTTTCTTTTCAAAGCTTTACTTTGGAGGAAGTGTTACAGTGGGCCCAGTCTTTTGAAAAGTTGATGGCTACAAAATGTGAGTATTACGTACATACTGTCTGTAGATTACTAGCAGTTTCATTCTTAGCAGTAAGAGGGGCCCAATAGGTGCTGTCTGCATGCTGCTCTTCTCACAGAAGTTCTAGATGACAACTGCCATAGTTAAAAAAAGAAAACCTGAAAATAGTTGGTTGTGTCAACCACTATTATTTTCTCTGGTGTTAATTAAAACAAGATTAGTCACTGTGAATATTTATTCTTCCCAAGTACATGTGTAAAATCCCTTGGGAAATATGCTTAAATAGTAACATGTTTTGAAATAGACTCTTACCACACACTTCTTAAGTTAGGATGGGAAAAAAAAAAAGGACAATTCACCATTCCTTAGCGCCTTTAAAAGTAATAGTAAATTTGAAAAGTGGTGTTTGAAAACTTTTCTTCAAAGTATGTTCATAACTTTATCAGTGGCTGGTTTAAGTGGAGCAGTGTTTTGTTCTGTTGTGCATAGGGTCACTATGAGTCAAAGCCAACTCAGTGGCACCTAACAACAATAACAATAACAGCAACACATATTAATTAGTCTGTAATTACATGTACATGTTAACATGCAGATGGTATAAATGAAAGACAATAGAAATGGAGATAAAATCATAGACTCAATGCTAGAAATATGAATACGCACATTCATGTGAGTAGTCAGTTGAGTTTGTGGTTGGAAATTGGGAGGTTGTGCCTGCTATATAATTGTCTTCCAGTGACCAGTAGTTATTACTTTAACACTCCTCGGAATTTACAGTGTAGTACGTCCATATGACAGTAAAATACAAAGTAGAAAAATAATAAATACTAGAAAACAGACACAGAAAAACATGTGGTGAATACTGAAAAGTCTCTGTTTGCTGCTTGTTCCTTTTTTTTTTTTTTTTTAGTGGAATCTGTTTCCTTCAAACATTTAGTAATTTTCACTATCCACCTGTCTTTTGGGGATCCTCTGTTAGCCTTTGTGAATGTTTTATCTGTTTATAGCTGATGACTGTGGAAGAGGATTTAAATGTTTTAATTAGTGGGGTGTGAGGGTGATTATTCTGGACTGGGTACCTTTGTTCTTCCTGAGGGTTACCGTAACCTTGGGGCACTATCTGCTTTCCCTGACTCAAGGGCTTGTGCCTAATGCTCCTTTTTTATAGAGAGATACCTAGTACTGCCTGGCCCAGAGGGCAATGGCAGGATGTATGAACCCCTAACTGCTTACAAAGAAACACCTTATAATCAGTCATTCTGATGGTTGCTTCCTTGCCCCTCCCCTACTGCTATGACCACACCTCCAAGCTACAGTCACCAGCTAAGCTTTCACCTTTTGGGGCAGGCTATAGACCTTTATTCCATGAAATCATTACTGCCTTGCAATTTTCAGGAATTCTTCAGAGTATGTGATCCAATTTCCCAGTATAATGTCAAACTTTTTAAAAATATATCCTTTTTGGTCAAGTTTAGGACATTGGAATGGGAGGAAAAGACAAAAGCATATGTTCAATCTGTTAGATTGATTCTCTGCTAGTAGTATGAATTTAGGTCTCAACCGTCAGTAATCCATGCTTTGCAACATTGGCAAAGTGTCCTCTTGCAGGTTCATATTTTTTATCTGTTCAATTGGAGTAATAGCTACCTTTTCAGCATTATTGTGCAGGTTAGATATAAAAGATCTACTTCAGTGAATGACACAGAGCAGGCACACAAAAATGGATAGTTATTTTTATTAGAAGTAACTACATGTCTCTGAATATCATTCCCTTTTCTCAGCTGCCTACCACAAAAGTCCAAAATTTCTAACTTGGGTTTCAGGGCTCTCTACCTAACTAATCCCAATGTGTTTCTTAAAAATATATCATCTCCACCTGAGCTTCTTCATAACCTGTTTTTCTGCCAACATGAGTGTTGCAGTATCTACAACTCTTATGCTCCAGGTTTTTCTTCAAGATTCTTTCCATCTTCTCTGTCTATTCTACCTCTCAAGACCTTACCCAACCTTGGAAGTAATATTTAAGCTCTGCCTTTTCCATGAAAACACCTAGAAATATTTTTCCTACTTCTTCTATTTTGTAGGTATTGTTATTCATTCTGCTTTTGATTGTAACTACTGGTGTATTGGTATATTGGGATTTTTCCACAGCCATTCTCTCACTACATTGTAAATTCCTTAAGAGTGTAGATTGACTCTCATTCACTATACTTCCCCCTGAGAGACTGAAAATGTGCTTTGTATCTAGTGGATACATAATAAGTGGTCAACAGATAAATATAAGACAAATATTACTAAGAAAAAATCAAAACATGAAGCCGTATTATGTAAGAGTTTATGTGCCAGTTCTGGAAGTTTCATAAACAAAATAAAGTTATTTGGCAAGTATGTCTGTGTTGTTGTATCTTTTCATTACACTTACTCAATCTGTATGCTAAGCAAGATTTAGTCCCAAGTAGTTTATCGTTTTTGTAGCTATTGCAAATGGTATTGGTTTTCTTATTTCCTTTTCAGACACCTCTTTGCTGGGGTAGAGGAATCCAACTGATTTTTGTATGTTCCTCTTATATCCTGCCACTATGCTAAGTCTTTCAATAAATTCCAGTAGTCTTCTTGCTGGGTTTCTTGAGTTTTCTGTGTACAAGATTATATCATCTACAAATAGGACTAGTTTTCTTTCTTCTTACCAATCTGGATGCCTTTAATTTCCCTTTCTTGCCTTTTTGCCCTGGCCAGGGCTTCCAATACAATATTGAATAGAAGTGGAGATAGAGGCCACCATTGTCTTGTTTCTGTTTGCAAGGGGAATGGTTTCAGTCTCTCTCCATTGAGAATAATGTTGGTTGTTGGTTTTGCATATAAGCCCTTTATAATGTTGAGGAATTTCCCTTCAATTCCTATTTTTCTGAGTGTTTTTGTAAGGAATGGGTGTTGGATTTTATCAAATGTCTTTTCTGTATCTATTGATACGATCATGTGAATCATTTCCTTTATTTTACTTATGTGATGGATTCCATTGATTGTTTTTCTAATGTTGAGCTATCCTTGCATACCTGATATGAACCCCACTCAGTCATGATGTATTATTTTTTTGATATGTTGTTGGAATCTATTGGGTAGGATTTTGTTGAAGATTTTTGCATTAATATCATGAGTGATATTGGTCTATAGTTTTCTTTTCTAGTGGTGTCTTTGCTTGGTTTGGTTATCAGGATTATGGTTGCTTCATAAAATGAATTTGGGAGGATTCCATCCTTTTGTATGTTCTAGAAAAGTTTGAGTAGGATTGGTGTCAACTCTTCTCTGAATGATTGGTGGAGTTGTCCAGTGAAATCTTCCAGGCCAGGACCTTTTTGTTGGTAATTTTTTTATGACCTGTTCAACTTCTTCTTTTATTATGGGTCTGTTCAAATTTTCTACCACAGTCTGTGTTAGTTTAGGTAAGTAATGTGTTTCTAGAAACCTGACCATTTCTTCTAGGTTTTCAAATTTGTTGGATTACAGTTCTTCATAGTATCCTGATATTATTCATTTTATTTCTGTTGGTTCTATTGTGACGTCACCCCTTTCATTTCTTACTCATGTTATTTAAATCTTCTCCTTCTTTTTCTTTAAGTTCACCAGGGGTTTGTTAATTTTATTAATCTTTTCAAAGAACCAACTTCTAGTCTTGTTGATTTTTTCTATTGTCTTTCTATTTTTTGTTTCATTTATTTCTGCTTGAATTCTTATTATTTCTTTTCCTCTGGTGACTTTAGGCTTTTCTGCTGTTGTTTTCCTAATTGTTGGAGATGTTGGGTTAACATGTTGTTTTGGATCTTTCTCTTTTTTTTTTGATGTGTGCATTTACTGCTATAAATTGCCTTCTGATCACTGCTTTTGCTATGTCCCAAAGATTTTAGTATGTTGTGTTTTCATTCTCATTTGATTCGAGGATTTTTTTGTTTGTTTGTTTCATTTTTCATTCCTCCTATTACCCTGTCATTTTTTAGGAAAGTATTATTCAGTTTCTGTGCATTTGCTCTTTTTCTATTGGTCTTCCTAATATTGATTTCTAATTTTATAGTATTGTGATCTGATAAGATGCTTTACAGTATCCCAATGTTTCTAAATTATTGAGACTTGCTTTGTGGCCTAACATATTTTGTATCCTGGAGAATGTTCCATGTGTGTTGGAAAAGAATGTATATTTTACTGTTTTGGGGTGGTGTGCTCTGTAGATGTCTGTAAGGTCAAGTTGGGTGATTGCATTGTTTTTCTGCTTCTTGGTTGAGTTTCTTTCCAGTATTCTGTCTTGTATTGAAAATGTGTATTAAAGTCTCCTACTATTACTGTAGAGTCATCTATTTGTCTTTTCAATTCTGTTAAAGTCTGCTTTATGTATTTTGGGCACTTTAATTGAGTGGATAGATATTTATTATGGTTATGTCCTCTTGTTCAATTGATCCCATAATCATTATATAATGTCCTTCCCTGTCTCTTATGGTTATTTTTGCCTTAAAGTCTGTTTCACCAGAAATTAATATTGCCACTCCTGGATGCCATTTGCTTTAATATCTTTTCCCAACCTTTGATTTTTAGTCTTTCTTTTTGTCTTTGTGTCTAAGGTGAGTCTCTTGTAAACAGCATAATGATGGGTCATATTTTCTTGTCCAATCTGCAAATCTCCATCTCTTGAGTGGTGCATTTAATCTACTGGCATTCAATATAATTATCAACAAGTATAAATTTATTGATATCTTTTTTTAATGTGTTTTTTCATGGTGTTGCTGATTTCTTATATGGAATTTTCTGTGCTGAGCTCATTTTGTTTATGAATTATGTTATTATCTCCTTCATTGCTATTGTTTTAGTATTTGCTAAATATTTGTGCTTGTATTCTTTTTTATTTTGATGTGAAGGTTTATTATTTTTCTTTGAGGTTACCCTGTGATTTATTATTTTCTTCCCACATTTAAAAGAGTCTGTTCTGCTTTGCAATTGTCTTGACCCCCTCACCATTTAGAAGTTCTGTAACT